AAGTTCCAATTCAATGTCCTGTGGTCCCTCTAGAGATTTCATCAGTAATACATTAACTTGGTTGTTGTTTTTTAAGGTCCTATAAATTCAAAAATGTAATACTTTATTATTTTAAATTTCTAAAAAGTGAGTTTAAATATATATACTTACTCAAAATTCTTATCAGTAGCTTTTTGAATATTCTTGGTTGCTTGTATGCGGACAATTTTGAGATCAAAATCGATGTTATCATACCAAAGTTGTAATGATTCTCGTGGCAACAGGAGTTGCCTTTTAACTATATTTGATTTAAGAGCGGTTAGCACTGGGACGTTTTCGGCTAGGACTTCGTCGGATTGGGGAGGGATCTTTTATCAAAAATAGCTAACGAAATTACAAGAGAATGTGCTAACCTAGCCAGATGTTACAATTTTAGTTATGTTTATGCGTATTGTTTTATTTTTTTTTTTTATGAGCTTGGTGTAAGTGCTCTATATTACCCGCCCAACCTTGTTAACACTTTGCAATGCTTTGAATTTGGTGTGTTAACCCTTAAGTGATTTGATGTGTGTTTGTTTTTCTTTTAGTACCCCATTATATTAAATTAGTTCAGTTTCTCCATGTTAACATTCAAATATAATTCTTGTTCTTAATAGCAATAAATATGTACATAAAAATAATCATTTCAATATCTTATCTCTTTTCTAATTATTAACAAATACTTCATTTTTAATTTCTTGAGAGCAGTCTTATCCTAATATATGTATTCTTAATTTATTGAAAGGTTAAATAGTGTTTAAATAATTAATTTGATTATATATAATTTTCCATTGAACAAAACTATAAAACTATAGAAATTGACTTCTCATTTTTTACTTGACTACCATTAATTTTTTTTTTTTGTTTTTTAAATTTCTTATATATATATATGCATAATAATCTTATTAAATTTTATTTTTTTTTTGTTTTGTTTTTACTTGTTACCTTTTTAAATCCACGTGTGCATGCAGGCCTGTAGCTGAGTGGCTGTAACTTTAATGGTTAGGTTAGGTTATATAAATATAAAAATTATTAATTAAAAATAAAATATCTGTGGTAGTATATAGTCCAGTATATAGTTTTAATTCTCCTCCAAATTATTTTCTTTCGCTGCGCTGCTGTGACTTTTAGTTGACCAGGTTGAACGTCGCTTGGCCAGCTTAGCAGCTAAATTATTTTGTGGTGCTTCTTCAGAAGGTGCAGTTTCAATAATTGGTGGATTTAAATCCAACCACAAATCCTGAAACTTTATGTTTTATTTCAGTCACATGTATTGATATTTTTCGTGACAAATTTTACCTGCACATATATATGTTTTGCCAAGTTAGGTTCTTCCTACGTCTCTTGATCGGTTTTCTATTATGCACTTAATATTTTTGTAACGCACTTTGAATAAAATTGCCTTTTATATTTATTTGGCATGTGCAAAAATTATCACGTGTTTTAAGTGTACGATTTTATTTACTCCAAGAACGATCTGATTTATTTGAGAGACTCTGACCAACTAAATGCACATGCTTAAAATTTTCCATGAACCGCGTGGGCGTAGGATAAGCTTACTTACAAAAAAAAAGATAGTATTGCTGACTAAGATAAATCAGCTAACCAAAGTTCTTTTACACAAGCGTGGCTTTATCTTTTGAGCTTTTGTTTTAGAGATAAGATAAGACAAACAAAGTGACTCTCAAAACTACGCATGTATATGACTTAAGCCGTACACATACAAAGCTGACCATCACAACACAGATTATTTTATTAGCTTTTACAGTGATAAAAGAAGCTGAAAAATCGGTCAGATTCATTAAGTCATACACTTTTGAAGATCTTTTGCGTGAAATTTTCCAATTACTTTACCATTCTCTTCTAATTCGTAAGAATGGTTACCGTGTTTGCGAACAATTTTTGCTTTTAAAAACTTTAGAGCAAGCTTTGCATTGAATTTTTTTAATTTATTACTCAGAGCACAATTTCGCCTATAAACTTGTTCTCCTAGTTCATATGTCACAAACCTGCTACGAAGATCATATACCCTTTTATTAGATATATATGCCTTGCTGATATTTGCCATTATGGTTTCCCGTATAACTTGTAGCTTGTCTGAATCTAAAATTCTTTCACCTATTTTAAGACTTTCTAATTTTCTCAACAGGTCATAATCTTTCGCATGCGAAACCATATTGTTTCCAAAAAGTGGAAAGTTGGTGAGCATCCGATTACTGAATGATAAGCAGAGCGTAATGCTGCTGAAATGTTGCTGATTTTCTCATCCCATAACCGTTGATCTGCACCAAGATATGATCGAATGCCTGATATTATGGATCTATTGAGGCGTTCAGATGCGTTTGATTGGGGACTATAAATAGCTGTTAGAAAATGTTTTATCCCATGCCTTCCAAGAAATGACTTAAACAGTGAGGATTTAAATTGACTTCCATTATCCGTCACAATGCATTCTGGAACACCAAATACATGAAAAATATTGGTACTCAAAAAGTCTACAACGAGATCTGCTGTAAATTTTCGCAAAGGTTTAAGGAAATGAAACTTAGTTAGGTGATCTAACACAATAAACACTCCTATATTTCCTCTCTTTGACCTAGGATAAGGTCCAATAAAATCCATATAAAGGCGTTGAAATGGCCTTTCACTTATTGCCGGGTTTCCCATAGGTGGTTTCAGTGTGATATTTGGGGCTTTTGATTGTTTACAAACATTACACCGCGCAATAAAGTTTTTCACTTCTATCGCCATGCTTGGCCAATAGAAATTTCTGCGAAGTCTCTCTAAGGTTTTTCCTATACCTCCATGAGCATTATGAGGTGGTGAGTGAGCGTTCTCTATAACTGATTTAGTCAAATCGGATGGTACCCATAGCTTCCAGCAGTTTGACTCGCATACGTCGTCTCTATAAAACTGATTTCTACGATATATATACTGATCCACAACTTTGAGATCTGGTAAACGATTTTGATTCTCTAGTATGACATTTTTCTGCAAAACGTAGTCGTTAGACCAAAAATAAGGTGAATCCAAATCGATTACTGGTAAAACAACATCTATTTCGTTAATTTCCTTGACTGGCAATCGCGATAGCGCATCAGGAACTATATTTAGGCTTCCTTTTCGGTGTTCAATTTCGAAGGTATAATGTTGCAATTTTAACGCCCATCTAGCTAAGCGACCGTTGAGATCAGTTTGCCGCATTAACCATTTTAAGCTCGCATGATCCGTAATAACTTTAAATTCGAGGCCTTCCACATATTCTCTAAACTTCTCGATACTCAGTATAGCACCTAAACATTCTAATTCTGTGACACAACATTTCTGCTGAGACTGGTTTAATTTATGTGAAAAAAATGCAATTGGTCTTTCTATATTATCGTCATCAAGTTGAGCAAGAACACCACCAACGCCTGTTTTCGAAGCATCGCATTGAATAATAAAGGGCTTCTCAAAATTCGGTGTCACTAATAATGGTGCTGAAGTTAATCTACTTTTTACCTCTTCAAATGCCTGGTTAGCCTCATCCGTCCATTTATAGTCTTTGCTCTTTTTGGTTAGATCTGTGAGAGGTGCTGTTATTGTTGCATAATTTTCCAGGAACCTACGATACCAACCGGCACAACCTAAAAATTTACGCAATTCTCTAACAGTTTTTGGAGGAAGTAAATCTTTTATTGCTGATACTCTTTTTGGATCTACCTTAATACAGCCGTTGCCTATCACAAATCCAAGATAACGAACTTCAGGAACACACCATTTACATTTTTCTAAATTTAATGTCAAACCTGCATTTCGCAACACGTCAGCCATTACTTTAAGCAGACTTATGTGCTGAGTAAATGTTTCACTGACCAACAATAAGTCATCAAGATAAACAAATACACGGCTTTTAAGATCAGAGGGAATAATAACGTCCATTAAACGACACATTGTTTGAGCTGCATTGGTTAAACCAAAAGGCATTACCTTGAATCTGTACAAAGGTCGGTTTGGCACAGTAAATGCAGTTAAATCTCTACAAGATTCCTTCAAACCTATTTGCCAAAATGCATGTTTAAGATCTAAAGAAGTTATAAATTTAGCTTTGGGTAATCTTGAAAGAATTCCATTAATTTTTGGTTGTGGATACGCATCTTTAATAGTTACTGCGTTCACTTTGCGAGAGTCAAGGCATATTCGAAACTTTTCTCCTTTCTGTACTACAGCTACAGGACTACTCCATGAACAAGTCGGAGGTGCGGTTTCTATCACTCCTAATTTGATCATCTCATCAATCTCTGCGTGTATTTTTTTCTCTATCGCAGGAGATACCGAAAAATATCTTTGCTTAATAGGTTTTGCTTCGGGAATAATTTCAATGGCATGCTCTAAAATAGATGTTTTTCCTAAGCCATCCCTGTTGAAATCTGGAAACAATGATATTACTTTCGTCATTTGCTGTTTTTGTTCACCACTCAGAGTGTCTGGTAAATTCAGTTCGCTAACGTATATTGACTGGTTTAGTTGACTCATTAAACCAAAGATGTACCAAAAGTCAATTCCCAAATAAAGATCTTGTTTCAGTTCAGGTATTATATAAAGCGTCACCAATTTAGACTGATTACGAAATGTAACTTCGGTTTCAACAGTTCCAAGAACATTATATTTTTGACCTCCAGCAGTTTCTACTAGTGAATTGCTAACTTTAAAATCCTTATTTTTGTTTAAATATTCCTTGGCTGCTTGTCCACTTAAACACGAGACAGATGCACCGGAATCTAATAATCCGCCATATATTTTACCAAAAATTCTCACTTCTACAAATGGTCTAACATCTTTGTCTTTGCTAAGCATTGCATCTAAACTAACCGTCAATCTTTGCGATTTATCTTTAATTTTTTTTTTTTAAAAAATTTCGCAATCGTAAAGAGTTTTGCTTCTGTTCCTAACATCAATTCCAATTTCTTTACTCTGGTTAAAGATTTTGTTATGGACTCTAATATAATTTCTTAATCGAACATGATATGGTATTATAGGATATAATTTTCCTTTAACGTCATTCTGTCCTATATTTATATTTTTAACATATTTTGGCGATGGATGAGTTAAGTCATCCAAATTAATCAGTTTTTTGGATTGGAACGATAGATGGTGTTGTCATATCCATTCGACCTTCTGTTTTTCTGACATAACTCGCAATGTGGTCGTTTCACATTTTCTGTGCCACATCCCATACAAAATATTTTTCTTTCAAATTGACAATCTATGAATTTATGTCCATATTTTCTACAATTCCAACACAGTATTTTCATATCATCAGCTTTATCTCCTTTTATTTCACAAATTTCATTTTCCATTAAATAATCGTTCATACTTCGATCGTCTATACATATTTCATTTACTTTTCGATTAATCTTTGTATTATAATTATTGTTAAATTCCTCACTAAAAGCTTCTCTTCGTGTTACAAGATTTCGTAATTTACCTAAAGAATTTATTTCCAGAAAAAGGTCTTAGGTTACGTTTAAGTACTGAAACTAATTGACTTTCGCTTATTGGATATTGTAACCGATCTACCAACAACATAATTGCATTATGGAATTCATCAAAACTCTCATTGGGTTGTTGCTTTCTATCCCTTATTAATTCTCTTACGTCGTCATCTGACAATGGATCGTGAAAATAAGAACTAAGAGAGCTGCAGAGACTTTTCCATACTACTTTGTCAACCGTACGCCTATACCTCCAGAACCATTCACTCGCTCTCCCACTAAAAAGTATGTGGATATGATCGCACAAAATTTCAAATTTACCGTCCAAACAATCATTTGTCAAGGCAGTCACCATATAAATAAATTTTCCAACAGGCATACCATTTCTAGAACCATTATACTGTAATTTCCAACCACTTATAACATTTACTATTTTTCCAATATCTGCACTGATGCTATTACTTCTGCTCATTCTTTCTTGATTATTTTGGCCTTGAGAAACACTTGGAACGAAAGGAGGAGCTTCTCCATTTAATCCTACAGGAGTTATACTTCTACCCCACTCTGGTTCAATATTAACTGCAGTTTCAATTGATCTTCGATTGATCTGATCTGTTGTCATTCTAGAAATTTGTCGTGAAAGCCCTTCAATAGTTAAATTCATTTGGTCAAGTTGTGAATTAACTAGACGTTCTATCTGATTTACTATTCTTTGCTCTACTGAATTCGAATGCCTATTATCCTCAGAATTATAAGAATTTTCTATATTTTCGTCTCTAGGTGTAACTTGGTCGTTATTAGCGGCTGTTACCTCTGACTCGGGTACTCTTTTCTTTTTCTTCTTTTGTCCGCTCGATAATAACAATCTTCCGTTGGAATCGGTTTCCCTATTTTGCTTTAAACCTTCTCTTGGAACGACTTCCATAAGACTATTTCTTGTTACGTTATGGTTACAAACCGGGCATATACGAGAACTATCAAGCCAATTCAATATACACAATCTGTGAAAAGTATGCATACATCTAGTAATTAATCTCATATCTAATTGCGTCATTGGCTGAGAACATATTTCACAACTACTTTCATTGTTTGGCATACTTGGCCGATCTAAACTGTGTCTCACTGACATTTTGCTCTAATTTATTTCACTCACAATGACGAATTCTCAAAAGTTTCTTTCTTTCAGGGGTACTAATAAAAAAACAAAACACATCATTTTTTTTTTAAATACGCAAAACTTTAACTTTTCCCACAATTATTTAAATATTTTGTCTTTAATAAGGACGGTACGTCAATGCAAAAGGAAAATTGTTCTGGGCAGTAAAGTTAATAACTAGCATAATAACCTTAAAGAAATCCACAGGCAATGTTACATCCCTATCACAAAATTCTTATTTTAGCTCATAAAACAATTGTTTTCGCATACTTCGGACGGCTATGTACAGTATTGTACCACTACATCAGCTGTATTCCAGAGGTTTCTCCAACAATGATTTTAATTGCTTAGACATAGCTTAGAACGAATAAGGCTTAACGGATGTTGGTGTTAAATTCCAAAATTTTCTTTATTAATTTTAATGCCTTTGTTTGTTCTTTGCCCCACGTTGGGCGCCACTTTTGTAATGATTCTCGTGGCAACAGGAGTTGCCTTTTAACTATATTTGATTTAAGAGCGGTTAGCACTGGGACGTTTTCGGCTAGGACTTCGTCGGATTGGGGAGGGATCTTTTATCAAAAATAGCTAACGAAATTACAAGAGAATGTGCTAACCTAGCCAGATGTTACAATTTTAGTTATGTTTATGCGTATTGTTTTATTTTTTTTTTTTATGAGCTTGGTGTAAGTGCTCTATATTACCCGCCCAACCTTGTTAACACTTTGCAATGCTTTGAATTTGGTGTGTTAATCCTTAAGTGATTTGATGTGTGTTTGTTTTTCTTTTAGTACCCCATTATATTAAATTAGTTCAGTTTCTCCATGTTAACATTCAAATATAATTCTTGTTCTTAATAGCAATAAATATGTACATAAAAATAATCATTTCAATATCTTATCTCTTTTCTAATTATTAACAAATACTTCATTTTTAATTTCTTGAGAGCAGTCTTATCCTAATATATGTATTCTTAATTTATTGAAAGGTTAAATAGTGTTTAAATAATTAATTTGATTATATATAATTTTCCATTGAACAAAACTATAAAACTATAGAAATTGACTTCTCATTTTTTACTTGACTACCATTAATTTTTTTTTTTTGTTTTTTAAATTTCTTATATATATATATGCATAATAATCTTATTAAATTTTATTTATTTTTTTGTTTTGTTTTTACTTGTTACCTTTTTAAATCCACGTGTGCATGCAGGCCTGTAGCTGAGTGGCTGTAACTTTAATGGTTAGGTTAGGTTATATAAATATAAAAATTATTAATTAAAAATAAAATATCTGTGGTAGTATATAGTCCAGTATATAGTTTTAATTCTCCTCCAAATTATTTTCTTTCGCTGCGCTGCTGTGACTTTTAGTTGACCAGGTTGAACGTCGCTTGGCCAGCTTAGCAGCTAAATTATTTTGTGGTGCTTCTTCAGAAGGTGCAGTTTCAATAATTGGTGGATTTAAATCCAACCACAAATCCTGAAACTTTATGTTTTATTTCAGTCACATGTATTGATATTTTTCGTGACAAATTTTACCTGCACATATAAGTTAACAAGTTAACATAAGCTGACAGAAGTCAATGACATAAGCATTGATTTCTGTCCCTTATCCAACTCCGGCCGAAATTGCTGATGTTGCATTTGGGCCGGACGCTCGTGCACAGACGGCAAACACTGCATATTTGCGTGGCCGCTGTGAGTCTTTTGTTAGCTCTAAGTTTCATTCTTAAGTTCAGTTCATAATTGTCATTCAATAAAGCAAGAGCACAAGCTCATATGAATCTCCGACACTTAGTCGTTAAATCACTTATTAATTATTACACTGACTGAGTCCCTAGGCCAGCAGTATTGAAGGGAAGTCAACCTTCCAACCTAACCTTCCTATCTCAGCATTGGAGGTACCAGGCCAACCGGCCGCACACGGAGTAACCAGCTAACATCCATTGGAGACAACAGCGAGGGAATTCTGATAATTCATCTCCTGCACCCCCTATACTTTCTAATTGGCGCTCAACTTTAAGATACCCACTCGACAGGCCCTCTTGACCCGAACTGGAAATAATTAAATGACAGTAAAAAACATGTAAGTGGACACTGATGGTCAAACTTTTTGTTGGGTCTGTAAATTAAAAAACTTAAATTGAAAAAAATTGCTACCAGCAAAAACTGAATCAAGTGTTAAGTTTGAGTATTCCTTGAGAATTTGAATTTTAGGAATTTGGTTTCAAATAAAAGTGGTACAAAATAAATAAATATTACATATGAATATTAACAACGAATACGTTTTGTGAGAATATTTTTCGTGTGTTAGCTTCGCATCTCTATGACTGCTGTTTAACCCCCACTCCGCTAAAAAATTTTTTTTTTTGTTGCGGCGGCACATACATTTGCGACGCAGCGTTATATTACTTGCATCTGTATTTGAACCAGCGGAGAAGCAAGTCTACCCGCAACCCGCCAACCACTGGCCACTACATTCATAGTGTTGTGCCTTTATTCTACTTAACGACAGTGCAGGTCCCCCCCCACTATCTAATAAATAAATATTATAATATTATCGCACATTATTTTCCCTGCGAAAAATTTGAATTACCATATATAATGATATATGACTTGTGAGGCGCATAAAAATTCTTTTATCACTCATAATTTCCGCCCTGTGTCACGGCGCATCGTTATTTCGCCAAGCAGCTCAAGTTATTTCTCGCTGTGTACTCAACATACATTTTATGCAGCGGTGCATACGTCGCCACCCTGCAGACACCGTTGTTGGTTTTGTTGCTCCGCTTATCGCAAGGAAATACGACCCCCAAGCTTTTTGCCTTCGTCTTTGTTGTGTATAGCTTTTGCTTATGCGCACGAATTTCGGTGCAGTTAAATCCGGGTGCCCATGAGTAATCCGTTTCTCGAATATAGAAAAAATAAGCAATACTCGAGCGACTCAGAGTCTGAGAGTGAGGGACAGCTCCACACCTCAACCCCAACACTCGGGTCCCCAGCCCCCCCTACAGAAATGGATCCCGAGCAGCTCCGAGTCGTTATACAGGCCGCCGTTACTAATGCCCTTGCAGAACAGGCCGCCCAAAACGAACTGAGGGAGCAAGCGCTTAGGCAGCGAATTGAGGAATTGGCCGGGCGGGTAGCGACAGTCGGAATCGCGTCAGCTCCAGCCCAGACCCCCCAAATAAATACATATAAAACCATAGAGATAAACGACGCCGTTCCATGCAACGAACCGCTGGACGCGGTAAAGTGCTTGCCAGAATTCGCGGGAGCACAAGAAACATACGTCTCCTGGCGGCAGGCGGCTGTAGCAGCCTATCACATTTTTAAACGATTCGATGGCAGCTCTCGCCACTACCAAGCTGTAATAATCATCAGAAGCAAGGTTAGGGGACCCGCCGACGCAGTACTGTCGTCATTCGGAACAGTACTCAACTTCGATGCGATCATAAGTCGCCTCGATTTTACATATAGCGATAAACGCCCGATGCATGTCATAGAGCAGGAGATGGGCACCCTCAGACAGGGAAATCTCTCCCTGCTGCAGTATTACGATGAGGTCGAAAAAAAACTAACCTTGTTGACAAACAAAGTCAATATGTCACACGAGCCGTCAGAGGCTAAAACCTTGTGCGATAAATTCCGTGAAGACGCCTTGCGCGTATTCATTTCCGGTCTCAAGCGCAGCCTTACGGATGTGCTATTCGCGGCAAAGCCGAGAGACATGCCATCGGCTCTGGCCCTGGCACAAGAAGTGGAATCAAACCACGAAAGGTACATTTTCGCAACTACGTTTGCTAAAAGCCAAGAGGAAAAAGATCGTAGGCAAACTCCAAAGCCACAAGATCGTCAACAAGACAAATCCTCTTCCCAGGCAAATCAGCAGTTCGGTGCCAGTAAAAACCCGCACTTTAGCAAACAGCACAGGGCACAGGTACATCCTGTACCGCAGGGTAATACCCAGGAACCGATGGATGTTGACCCATCCCTTTCCAGGATGAAACAACCTACCCAGGCACAGGCTTACCAAAATGGGAAGCCGGCCACATCCGGTCGTTCATGCCCTCACAAAAGACAAAGGGTTAATCATATCGCTCAGAGCGTAGATCAGGCCGATGATACATACGCAGCCGCAGCTTCCAGCGCGGCGGCCAAAGTCGACGATGACGCCATCTCCGAATACGATTCGGACATGATTAATTTTTTAGGGAAAATCCCTGCTGCCCGTCATCAGACGAAGAGTAGCGGGGAAAGAAATGAGATTCCTCATCGACACGGGTGCGGCGAAAAATTTTATCCGACCTCACAAAGGCTTAGAAGGCGTTCGCCCCGTCGATTCCCCTTTCACCATTCACTCACTCCATGGCGTTACAACAATCACCAAGAAATGCTTTGTATCATTATTTAATTTGAAGAGCACGTTCTTCCTATTACCGGACTTATCCTCCTTTGATGGAATAATCGGCCTTGACCTATTAAAACAGGCAGGGGCAACACTATGCCTAGCTTCCGGTAGCCTAAATTGGGGCACCGAGGTAGAGCAAATCGATTTCCATACGTGCGCTGATGTAAACTTCACCAACGTGAGTTGCTCAGATGCACCGCCATTGGCAAAAAACGCGTTCCTAAAAATGCTAAAGACCAGGAAAATGGCCTTTGCAAACCCTAATGAGGCGTTACCTTACAACACATCGGTGGTAGCTACCATCAGAACAGTTAGTGAGGAGCCCATATACGCGAAGTTATACCCGTACCCCATGGGGGCAGCGGATTTCGTCAACAAAGAGATTGAAGATCTGCTTAAAAACGGGATAATTCAGAAATCGGTATCCCCTTACAACAACCCGATATGGGTTGTGGATAAAAAAGGGACCGACGAGCTTGGGAACCGAAAAATGCGACTAGTTATTGACTTTCGCAAATTAAACGAAAGAACTGTGTCCGACAAGTATCCTATGCCAAATATAAACATGATATTAGGCAACCTAGGTAATGCTAAATATTTCTCTACGCTAGACCTCAAGTCTGGCTATCACCAAATCATACTCGCAGAACGCGACAGAGAAAAAACTTCCTTCTCAGTAAATGGGGGGAAATACGAATTCCGCAGACTACCGTTTGGCCTCAAAAATGCAGGCAGCATTTTTCAGAGGACCATCGACGACATCCTACGGGAACAAATCGGCAAGTTCTGCTATGTTTACGTTGACGACGTAATCATTTTTTCGGAAGACGAAGACTCTCACATCAAGCACGTAGATTGGGTTCTTAAGAGCCTGTACGATGCAAACATGAGAGTATCAATAGAAAAATCCAGCTTTTTTAAGAAAAGTGTGAGCTTCCTTGGGTTTGTAGTCACTTGTAACGGTGCTACAACAGACCCAGACAAGGTAAAGGCCATAAAAGAATTTCCGGAACCCAAAAATGTTTTTGAGGTACGATCATTTCTAGGCCTAGCCAGCTACTATCGATGTTTCATTAAGGACTTCGCAGCAATAGCGAGGCCTATATCGGACATCCTGAAAGGGGAAAACGGAACAGTTAGTAGACACAGGTCACGAAACATTCCGGTTCAGTTCTCTGAGGCGCAGCAACAAGCGTTCCAGAAACTACGAAATATCTTAGCGTCCGACGACGTAATGCTAAGGTACCCCGACTATAAAAAGGCATTTGATCTAACGACAGATGCCTCGGCCTATGGCATTGGCGCAGTATTGTCCCAAGAGGGACGACCAATAACAATGATCTCAAGGACATTGAAAGACAGGGAGGTTAACTATGCCACCAATGAGAGGGAACTCTTAGCCATAATCTGGGCACTGGCTAAGTTACGACATTATTTGTACGCGGTGAAAGATATCAACATCTTTACCGACCACCAGCCGTTAACCTTTGCAGTGTCGGAATCCAATCCGAATGCAAAGATTAAAAGGTGGAAAGCGCGCATTGATGAGTCAGGAGCGCGGATTTTCTACAAACCCGGCAAGGAAAATCTTGTTGCCGATGCACTGTCACGGCAACAACTTAACGTCATGGAGGGACAAGAAGCTGAATCGTGCGCAGCCACCATTCACAGCGAGCTCTCCTTGACACACACAATTGAAACAACGGATAAGCCCTTGAATTGTTTCCAGAACCAGATAACTCTGGAGGAGGCACGCTTTCCGTTAAAACGCAAATTCGTCCTCTTTGGTAACAAGAGACGGCATGCGATTAACTTCTCCTGCAAAGAGTCATTACTTGATGAGCTCGCAGACATAATCGTTCCTAAAGGCGTAAACGCCATCCATTGTAACCTGCACACGCTGGCAATGATACAGGACGAATTGGTCCGGCAATTCCCGGCCACCAAATTCTGGTATTGCAAAAACCGAGTGACGGACATTTTTGCAATCGGGGAGAGACGGGAAATCATTACTGCCGAGCATAATAGGGCACACAGATCGGCACAGGAGAATGTCAAGCAGGTGCTCTCTGAATATTATTTTCCTAAAATGACTAAATTAGCCAACGAAGTTGTCCAAAACTGCAAGACCTGCGCGAG